CTGTGAAGTTATTAGTTAGAAGACTGTGACCATGGAAGATTTCTCTGGAGGGACATACTGGATCTTGCAGTCTTATTCCAGAATATCATATTAATTAAAAAAAAAAATTAAACCTTTCTCGATCAGTTTCTATGATGCTGTTGTAATAAAAGGAATTAATTACGTAGAAATCTGTCTGATTTGCATCTGTGAACTGTTAAAAATTGTTAATGGTTTGATGAACTGTGAATAGGCCTATGCAAGGTAGAACTCAGTGACAGAGTTGGGAAAAAAAAAACAGCTCCAGTATGTTCTACTTGCAAGAGGAACTTTTCTAAATAAGTTTTCTTGTTTAGTGTTTAAAGCATTGAGTCTTCTGTACAGTTTCTTTTGGAGGAGCTTTTTTACTTTCTTGCTGTTTTTTATGTATTTAATCCCACAAGTGAGAGCTTGCTTGAGAGTTAATGTAAAGAGTTGTTCCTTTTCTGTCAATGTCCAGAAAGGTCAATCTGTGTGCACAGCACCTTAGGTATACACCAGCTAACAAAAATGGGCAATGGATTAACATCTTCATTGCCCTTGTGGGTGTGAATCAAACGGGCCAGGTAATGAGTGTATAGTGGAGTCTGGATGGCATTGCCAGACTCCGTGGTTGATAAGCTGAGGTGAAAAGCATGTGGGGCAGGGCAGTCCTTCTTGAGGAGTTAACATCATTGGAGGTCTGTGTTATTACTGGAACTCAAGACCAGGGATCTTTCAAGGAAAAAAAGAGTTTATAGTATATAACTTCGTTTAAAGAGTAGCTTTAAAAGGAAGAGGACTATCACCATACAGTTTAAGAGGGTCATACTTTACCTCTCTTACTACTAAAATCCCTGTGTTTGTACATATGCTCGAAAAATCTTGCAGTTATTTTTGAGTGAGGAATAGAGTTGAATATAAGACTATTGCTTGTGTACTGACACCACAAAACCTGTTTTTTATATACTCTGGGGCCTTACACATCCAGAACATAATAATGAACCTGGCTTTTGGACTGAGGCCACTTCTTGAAATATCCAGGAGTGCTGGATACACTATAGTCTTAATCTCACCCATGGCCAGGAACAGGGAGTAGTGCATCAAACTGGGTTATTTGCTGGAATTGCTGTGGTAGGTGACATACTCTCATATGACAGAGGGGAAGAAGCAGAGCAGCCCTTGGCAGCTAGAAAAATTGCTAACTGCATTAAGGTTGGGTGGATTTTGGACTTGCAGGAAATTAAGAGAAGACAGTACTATTTAGTTGTTATTTTCATTTAGTTCTTCTCCACGCACCTGATGTTTTTTGGTACATCGTGTCCTGTCCCAAGTTAATGGCATCATCAGCTGGGAATGCTTATTCCCTTCGGCTCCCCTCCTGTTGATTTGAAGGCAGCAGTGGCTGTCTGGGTGTGTTGTGGCTTTGGGGGCAAAAGGTGTGGGAGAGGAATGCTGGCCTTTTTGTATTATTATTATTATCATCATCATTATTGTCATGATCATAATCTGTTCACAGTTTTGTTTACAAAAAGAAGAGTTGTTATGTAATTTAGAAATAAAATGACAGAAATAAATTACTTTAAAAGGATGTTTAGGGAATAAGGAGACATATTTGTGGCAAGCTATTCTGAAAATGTCATCCAGTTAAATTATTTTGTTGTTTCCTGGCTGTAATTTTTATGGAATTGGTGAGTCAAACAATTGTCAGTAATATTTTTGGTCTCTTAAATTTTTTTCTCACCCTGTAGGAACTACATGCATCCATCTAGATTACATCTGAATGACAAAAATACTTAGGTAGCGGGAGGAAGAGTAATGCTTTTACATAGAATTATCTGTCAGTAACTGTTTATTAAGTGCATATGTCATGTCTTATTCTGGATTTATGTTGCTAGTGTCTTAACTGGTAATTCATTTTTGGATACCTGATGACGTTAATTGTTTTAATGTTATTCTCATTCAGCAGTCTATGTAACCAACATGCATCTTAAGTTCAGGAAGAGCAGAAGTACATTGAGTCCCTCATACAGATCATCAATATTTTAAAAAGGACTGGCCTCAACACAGAACCCTGAGGGTCGTCACTTGTGACCAGCCACCAGCTGGATTAACTCCATTCACCGCCGCTCCTGGTGCCCATTCATCCAGCCAGTTTTATACCCAACCAAAAGTACACCCATCCAAGCCAGTTTCTCCCAGGAAAATGCTGTGGGAAATGATGTCAAAGACTCTTCTGAAGTCTGTGTAGACAATACCACAGCTTTTTTGTCATTTACTAAGGGAGTTACCCTGTCACAGAAGGAGTTCAGATTGGTGAAACAGAATATGCCTTTTCTAAATCCATGCTGGCTGGGCCTGATCTCGCAGTTGTCCTCTATGTGCTTTGTAATTGCACACAAGAAGAGCTGCTCCATGACCTTTCCTAGAAAGCATGACTTGAGACTGAAAGGTTTGTGCTTGCTCAGATCCTTCTTCCAGCACTTCTTGGAGTTGGACATCACATTTGCTGACCTGAAGTCAGCTGGGACTTCAGTTAGCCAGGACTGCTGATGGAAAAGTGTCTCAGTGAGCACTTGCACCAGCTCCCTCAGTACCCTTGGGTGGATTCACCAGCCCCACAGACTTTTTTGTGTTTAGGTAATGTAAACATAATCCCCTTGGATTATGGAGGCTTCATTCTGCTCCCTCATCCCTGTCTTCTAGCTCAGGGGGCTGGGTCCCTGGAGTACAGCTCGTCTTGTTACTCAAGGCTGAGAAGACATAAAGTAGTCTTGTCTTCATTCTTCCCTACTGTTTTTCCCTCCACATCTAATAAAGGTAGAAGATTCTCTGTGCCTGTCCTTTGGTTGCTAATGTATTTATAGAAACATTTAATATTTTTCTTTTATAGCACTGGCCCAATTAAGTTATAGTTGGGCTTTGGTCTTTCTGATTTTCTCCCTGTATAACCTTATGGCATCCCTGTAGTCCTCCTGAGTCTCCTGCCCCTTCTGCAAAAGTCATAAACTCCTTTTTCTCCTGAGTTCCAGTCGAAGCTCTCTGTTCAGCCAGGCTGGTCTTCCCTGACAGTTCAATTTTCATCCTGTCACAGAATCACAGAATATTCTGGGTTGGAAGGGGCCCACAAGAATCATTCAGACCAGCTCTTAAGAGAATGGTCTGTACAAGGATCAAGCCCCCAGCTTTGGTGTATGTTAGACCAGCTGAGCTGATCTAAGCAGCTGCCTATGGAGGGAGCCTCTCCTGCCCTTTTAAGATTTCTTTCCTGCAGAATGGGTTGAGCAACTTTTTGATTGGAAAGGGCAGTGAAATGAAGGCAATAGCTTCAAGTGCTTGATTAACCTAGACTTTTAAGTAGCTGTGTTTCAGAGGCAGAAAATCAGGCAGCAGGCTCTGGAACGACATGGGTGAAGTCTGCTGGAACTGGGGACTTTGTCCTGTATCTTGAGATTGGAGTGCTTCTTTTACACCATGTTTGCGTGTGGCTTAGTTTCAGTGTGTGAATTCTAGAGGTTAAAGCCCTATGAATATTGTGTTGGTGTAGCAGGGACAGACTGTGGGTGACTCCTGCCCAAGGGTTGAGCCAGGAGCAAAAGGCTGGCCTGCTACTGGGGCATCCCTGCCTGCAGTACCAACATGTGCCTCATGCGAGTCTCTCCTGAGGTGTGGCTACACCCTGAAAGGCACGAATGAGAACCAAAAATGCAACAAAACCAGTTTCAGAGAAGCTTTAGGTTGTATACCAGGGCTCTTACAATATAACTGGAGCTCACCAGTCAGATCCATCTTTTATCTTCCATATATCTTCAGATTTTTCAGGCATTTTGATTAACAAGTAAGAATGTTCTTGGTTTCTTCCAGTCTAATGAGCAGATGTCTTTTCACTATTAGGGATTGTTTGAAGGCATTTTTCAGAGAGAGGTTGTATTTCTCAAGAATCAGCAAAATTGATGTGTTCAGAGCTTTGTCAAGCCCTGCTGCTTGGTAGCAGTCATGTTGATCCATTGGAAAGTATTCAGACAGAAATGTTAAATGGACCACCAAATACCCAAGAGTCTTACTTATCCCCTTGGTACATGAGTGCACATGCTGCAGAACTTCCCTGTACTGCTGGCTCTCTTGGGAAAAGATCGATGGGCAAGAGATGCATGGTGGATTCTCTCAATCTGCAGTGCTCATTGCTCCAGGTGAATGCCTGTGGCCAGCTGTATGTCATTGTTATAATCAAACTGAAAAGGTAGAATTTGGATACCCCCCAAAACAGGACCTGTGCAATCCTGCATGCAGCCATGTCCTGAGCAAATGTGTTGCATGACTTTTAGCCATGTTTTTTGGCACAACGGGCCTGTTTCTGCTCCCTGATTACTGTGTTCTGAGAAATGCAGCCAGCCCTTGATATGAATGGCTTTTCATGCTCATTTGTGTACTGTCACTCCTTGCAGGTCTCTGTGGTACACTGAGCTGGATCTGCTGCTGCAGTTGGGGCCCAGTTTTTGCATTTGCAATGCTACTGCCTTTCTTGTTCTCTAGAGCTCTTTGCAGCTTGTTTTAGAGGCTGGCATGAGCTCTGAGCTTTCAGGTGACTCAGCAATGTGTGAGTGACCTTGGAGTGGGAGAGACACTGGGGTGTGCCACTGCCACTTTGTGTATTCCATTGTTCCCTTTTCTCCTCTCCCCTTTCAGATGTGAAGGAGGCATCCCTAACATACCTGTTATTAGGGGCTGCCAGATTGACATTGATAGCAAAATAAACCACAGCAATTTAGGGTTTAGGGTTGAGGAGCAGTTGGTATCATCCACAGGTAAAAAAGCCATGGCTGCTGTAGCTCTTCAAATCTTAAGGTTTCTGAGTTACATAATGTTTTTGTAATGTTAAAGTACTTCTCTTAAAGGCAGGGCAAGAATCCTCTTCTGGCTTAATTTTCAGCCAGTTTTATTTCCTACTAGGATACAAGATCTTGCTAACCTTTGTCTTCCCTCCTTCTGTCCTTTTGTTGCAGGTCTTGATGATTGCCTGCAGCAATATATAAAGAACTTTGAGAGAGAGAAGATTAGTGGTGACCAGCTATTACGAATTACTCATCAGGAACTGGAAGATCTTGGAGTCACACGAATTGGCCATCAGGAGCTTATCTTGGAAGCAGTAGACTTGCTCTGTGCACTGGTAAATTTCTTGGGGCAAATGGGGAGGGGTGAACAGGGTTCACATATTCACACTTTCTGTGCTCAAACTGTTACTCCTAAAGACTTATCTAAGCAGCTCAAGAAACTCCTGATTTGTAACATGTAAACAGTTTAGCATTTTAAGCTGGGGAAAGATAAAGGGGAAAAAATGCATGGATAAGAGTGATGTTTGTTAAATAAACAGAGATTTAGGGCTTGCATATCCGTCTTTATAGAATAAAAGTTTATCTGAAATCACAAAAAAACTAGACTCTGTTTGGTTTGGAATGTAAAATAGTTATATATGTGAATGGAGTAATTGAGTGTTGATTGCCCTTTACAAACAAAATGTTCTGATATTAAGCATGTCATTCTTCATGTCACTCGTCCTTTCATGCAAATTATGTTTTAGATGATTTTTTGAGCCTGATGAAACAGAGCTGCTGGTATTTCACTAGAAAGGATGAAATACTTATGTGTAAATAATATATAAATTTTTAGTGGGGCATAGGGAAGGATTTTGGTAATGGTCTTTCAGTCAGGTCATGTCATGCATAACTAGGATTATCTGCTCAGTGAGGGCTGTGGTGCTCACTTCACCCTCCTTATGAACTTCTAGTGTGTGTCTGTAAAGATTAGTGATAGATTGGGTACATAGCATTCTCCACTGTAGAAAGGATTGTGAATAGCTCTGTTAAGATGTACTTCACTGCCTAAGGTGGTGTTTTGTGGGTTTTTAGTACATCCTATTCTTCAAGCCTCAGAAGGAGCTTTTAAGAAAGCTGAATCCTGTGAGAGGCAATCAAAGACGGGTAGGCTGAAAGGCTCTTCAGAAGAGCTTGTCAGTTCTCCATATGCAGCAGCTTTTCTGGATACCCTGTTGTTGCATTTTTGGGGTATTGTGAAGTGTAATGAAAAGGAGAGAGTGAAAAAAGATAAAACATACCCAAAAGAGTTAAAACAAGGAGAAAGCCTTTTCATACAAGAAAACATTTGATTTTAAACACAGATTATCTTCTGTAGAATACAGTTTCTAATAACATTGCAGTGTGAGTCAGTGCAATAAGTTAAGTTGTTTTTTAAATAAGGAAGTTGCAATCTTAAAAATGCTACTGATATAGAAGGGGACTAAAGAGTTATTCACAAAGTACTTTTCTTATCAGACAGTGCAAAAGAAAACATAAAGTAAATACTTCAGTTAACTGAGAAAGATTAAGTCTAAGTTAGCGAGCACCAATGACCATTTTCCCCAGTCACACAGAGAAAGAGATTGTGATCTTTGAAAAATAAATGTTAGGAAAAAAAACCACCCTTGTTTATTAGCTGAAATTTCTTTTTTTTTTTTGGTATGTAATTACAGATATAATCTTCAGACAAACAAACACGGCTTGTCTTTGTAGCTCCTTTATCTTAGGCAAAAGTATATGGAACTAAGTTGAATATAAAATTAAGAATTTCTAGCAAAGACTAACACTGCATCTTAAATGCGTGCAGCAAGTCTCTCCCTTCCTGGTTCTTGTTGCACGTACAGTATTGTCTACTTTTCTGAATTTGTCTTAGAGAAAATTGCTAAAGCACAGTGGCATGAGTTCAGATCGCAGCTTCTAATTTAAGATGAGGTTTTTGCAGTCTCACAATTGGCTCCTGGTGGCTCCTCGGGGATACAAAATGTTATTGTTATATTGATTTTAGTGGATTTAATTTGAATGTATTGTTTACCAATCAGATAAACCTCTTAGAAAATTTAATTCAGAGGCAATCCATTTGGCTGGACTGGTCCTATACTGACAGGCTTTTCTTTTTTTATTGCATCTGTGAGTGTCTGTCCTGGGTAGGGCTTGCCTTTTCTTCTGATTTGACTTTAATATTAGGTGTATTGTTAAGAAGAACATTAAGCCTATGACTGTCCAATATAGGATAACTGGTAATTCAGCTAGTGGCTATGCAAGTTTTTTTTTCTTTAATTTTCTGATTTTTTTTTTGTTTCACAGTAGTTTAACAGAGGTTTCATGATAGAACTTAGCATGAGTTACAGATAAATGATCCAAATGAATTAACATCTCTTTGGATGCTGGAGATGATGGGTGCTATGATCGGCTATGGCTAGTAAAGTTAATTATGCCTTACAAGCTTAATCCCAGATTGATTTAAAAGTAGGTATTAAAAATTAAAGGATTGTTGGTTCTGCTTCTCCCCATTTCTCTCTGAGTGACCACCTAAACAGTTTTTGGCATTGAGGACAACTGAGGGGACAGAACCCTTCCCACTGTTTATCTCTGTTCCCACTCTGTGGGGGAGAGTTTTCCCAGTACAGAGTTGCTATCACTTAGGAAAGCTTATGCAATGTTGATTGCTGATGTGCTTTTTTCCTACCACCCTTTCCCAGTATTTTTGTGGGGGGGTGGGGGTAAACTTCTGCTTGCAGTTCCCTGGCAGCTGTGGAGATGGCAAACAGCAAAGCAGCTGCCTGTGTTGCATGCCTGCATTTTCTTACTGGGGTAAGGCAGAGAGCCTGAACAATCCTATCTGGCTGGTATGGAGAGTGCAGGGGACACACCAGCAGGAGCTGTTGAACTGTGCTAAACGCACAAACTGCCGCAGTAAGAGTTGGGAGCCAGATATAATTGATAACACTATTTAAAGGATGTTCTTTATGGGTTTTTGACAGAAGGTGGGTGGGTGGCTGGCTGTGGTCTCTCACATAATTCGCCTCCTGTCATCAGCACTTGCAACAAATGGATCCTCCAGTGTTTGTGAGCTGATCGGAGGACAAATGGTGCCCTGTGCTATCCATCTTTAGTTGAGTCTCTCTTGGCTGCCAGCCTGCCATACTGTGTTCTTGACAGCAGAGCAAGCATTCAGGGGGTGAGATTCACAGGTTTTCTTTTCCTGTGGTGCTTCAGGGAAGGAGAAACAAAGTCTTTGCCCAGCTGCTGCTGCTGTTATAGGTCACACTTGCTGGTAATGGTGGGGGTGTACATCCTGCATACCTTCGCTGGAGCTGAAAGTGCTCTGGGAGAGGGCAGGCAATCCAATGAACATAGTTTGTCTCTTCCCTCTCTCCTTCAGACTGTGGAGGTGGGAGCAGCATGTTCAATAGATTATCGTGCCTTGGTGCAGCTTTGTGCTTTACAAAATCCATATGTCAGAAAGGGCATGATGAATGAAATGTTGCCTGTGCCTAGAAGAAATAAGTAGTGATGTCTGTGATGGTATTTTGTTGCTGCTAAGAGTTTGTCACATGGTTTTCAAGGTGAGAAACCTTCAGAAACCACCGTGATGGGTATATGCTGGCAGCATTTCTTTATTTCCAGCAAGACAAATTTCCTGTTCTTGTCTTTATGTTTAAATTGGGACATGCAATCACACTGGTGGTGTCAGTAGGTAGATTTTTACTTGATGTGGATGGACATTTTTATTCATACTAACAAAATCACCCAAAGTAATTGACATCTCAAAACTGGTAGAAAATGATAGACTGAGGAATTGCATGTCCAGCTCTAGAGATACAGGAGAAACTACTGAGTTGAGTGCCATGTTTCTCCACTATTCACAGGTAATAAAATATACAGTTGTTCACAATTACCAGCAAGATCTTCGCCTCAAGATGATCCTTTTCAGTATGTGTGTGAGGGTGAAGCTAGTCTAACGCTGCTTTTCATTACTCGTTAAACAAACAACAGTGTAGCAGACTTCATTGTCACAAAATGTGACAAGCCTTGTTTCTTTGATAGCAGCTTTAAAAACTGAGTGTGAATGAACAATGCCAGTATAAAATAAATTGAGAAGAAAAGGAGATGATGCTTACAAAAATAGAAATACATAATAAAGAACAAATTATATAGATAAGGCCATCAGATCACAATACCAGTCATCAGGTTTGGAATGCATCAGGGGATTTTGTAGCACCTGCTATACGTAACTGGCCTGAAGAAAGCAAAGAAAGTACACAAGTACATTACTATTTTTCCACCATCTGTTTGTTAGGAGATGGAGTTTCATTTACGAAACTGGGTAGGACCATTTTTTGTGCCTGGAGAGCACAAAGACTGAAGACTGCATAGCCAAACATGACTTCTTCCATCTTTAAGAAACAATACCTTGATAAATGAGATGCCAGATGGAGATTCCTTTTTTTCTTTTTTTTTCCCTTTTCCTAAATATCATGTTCATTGTGTTTGCATGAAGATTAAATTAGTTTAATTTGATTTTGCAAATATTTTTTAAACAAGATCCTAAAGTAGGTGTGTTGTTCTAAGAATATTTGAAAAGCTTAAAAAATAATTTTTGGATGCTTTGAAATTTTTCATTAGCAAAGAATTTTATGAAGTTCCTGTGAATTTGCAAAATAATTCTTCAGGGAATCTTCATTTGTGCAGAATAGAGTTTAGTTAAAAAATAAAACAAAACAGATTTTGCTTTATAGAGCATACTAATTTCAGTACTAGTTTCATGCAAGGTAGTTAAATCTGATATGGCTGCACAGGAATTTATTGCACACTGTATTTGAATCTGTAAAGCTAGGAGATTGCAGCAGATTAAATAGCATTATTATTTGGCAGAGAAAACATTGGTGTGCACTAACAGCATGAAATTACTTATCATTTACCACTAACACAAAACATTTATATGCAAATGAATATAAAAAATAAACCTACTTTACCTGTGAATGATTTGATTCTTCTTAAGAATTGTGCCTTTTATCTTAATTTCATCTTCCTGCCATTTCTCACACAGAAATCCTCTCCTTTGCACTTATCACGAGTCAGAACTTAATACTGTTTTGTCAGTAACAGTGAATATTAGACTTAATCATTATGGTGCTAAATGAGGAAGGCTTCATTTCAGAATGGAGATTTATGTATACTGAAGGTGGAATTTACTGTTAGTATTCTGAGTGCTCATAACAGAAAAATTACTTACCGTTTTCACTATTGCCCATTGCAAGTTAAAGTTCTGCTTATATATCATATATCATAATATATATGATTATATATTATATATATATATGATTAGCTCAGCCTGAGCTAATCTGACTGCAGTGCAGGAAATCCTGGAAGTCCATCACCAGATCAATAAAGCTAAGGAGATAAAGAGTTTCTGATAGCTCATATAG